GCTCTCCCTCCCTCCTCCTCCAGATAGTGATGGCATGTTTTTGTCTGCTGGCCAGATGCAATGGCCTACTTTGTCTAGGCAGGCCTGGCACATCTCCCTGCTCTACAATCCTCGTCTGCCCGCGTGGATCCTGGATTGTCTCTTGTGCTCTTTTTTTTTTTAATTTTTTATTTTTTTTTTATCTCTACCACTGCTTGCAAGGATGTAAAGCTTGTTCTTACACTCAGAAAAATAAATCCATCAGCTTGACTGCTTTGTGCCTCTTGGTTGGCATTTTTTGCCCCAAGAAAGATGATGTTCAACAGCTTGAAATCTTATCTTTCTGGTGGAATTAACTACGTTCTCGAGCTCCTATCTTCACATAATATGATCAGAGGATATGCCGAGGTTCAGTGAAAAACATCACAAGACTCTCCTTTCTGTCAGAACACCAGACAGCAGTAATTTAGTTTAGCTTTTGTGACTGCTCAACTGTTTTAAGCTTATCGTTGCATAGATTAGATTAAATTATTTTATTTTTTTTTGACATTCCTTTATTATTTTAGCAAAGAGCTGACGTCAGGTTCAGGTCAGTAGAGGTAAGGAGAGCTCCTTATCTGCTCCGGTTAGGTTACCACCAGTGAGAGTTGCAGCGTAATGCTTTGACAAATGGGTTTGAATGAGTGGGCAGAATTACAAGGTCAGCTTAAAGTGTCACGCTGGTTAAAAATAAACGCGAAGACGAGCAGGACCCGAAGCTACAGCTGGTTACGTGTTTGCACGCTCGTTGCCTTTTGAAAACTTGCATTCGCCAGGAAAACATCCTGCCTCCGTGGGGACGAACGCACACTTTACATGCCGGGCATCTGGTGATAATTTTGACTTGCTGCGTCACAGCCGCTGGAGCTTCATCTCCTCTGCATCAGAGCTGTGAGCCGTTGCGGTGCACTCGGGCAGGTTTTGCGATTCTCCCCGATTCGTAATAGCCTCTAAGCCAGAAGGAAATGCGGGGGGCTTTGGCAACGTGGAGCCAATTCAGCCAGCGTATCAGAAGACTGCAGCCGGAGAGCCTTTTGTAGCCTTTACAACAGAGCTTAAAAGCTGAGGGATGTCTTGTAAAATCCCAGGGTGCTTGTCAAGTGGGACAAGAAATGGGGATAGAGACCAAGTGAGGAAGATGCTGAGTCATTTGGCATCCCGCAAGCTTGACCCTCTGCTTGTATAAAACGCAAACAGCAGCAGGAATAAATGAGTAATGTGTGCATTTCTTTAACTTTCTGTAAATATCAGTGTTTAAGCTGAAAGTAGGTCATGTTGCCCCAAATACGCCCCCAAAGTAGATGCTCTCAGATTGGCTCCTGGTTTCTCCTCCTCCCTACCATGACTTTCCCTTTTTTTTTTTTTTTTTTTAAACCATTGTAGGAATGTTAGCTCTGAGGACTTTCTGTTCATTCATGACTGTGACGTTAAGGGAGCCCAAAAAGAGCAGGCAGCGTGTTTAGTTTGGCTTGCATGTATTTGCATAAGCATTTTATGCTTTTCAGTTAAAACCTCTTTCTGATCTCTGTTTGCCCATGTCTGTAATTTCAATACGAGACTGTGAGACTGATAAAGTCCAGTTAAACATTGGTGCATGACTCCCATCACAGAAGTCCATCATATTTGCATTCGTCATCACGGAAGTTCATGAGGATGCTGTGCTTTATGACTTGTCCAGAATTGATTTGTTGCCTGCATCTGTAGCTTATCTTTGCTTATCTGATTGATTAAAAGCCGAAGGATCTTAACATGCAAATTCAGGAAGGGCGAATGACTTTAGACATAACTTATTTGTTTATTTAAGATAATGTACATCAATGTAGGCGGGAATCATTTTAGTTACAAAAGATAAATATTTTTGCATTTATATCTAAAACTAGCTTTATCTCATTAAATGAGACGTTAAACTTTGATGTGAGAAAAAAAAAAAGGACGTCTGCCTCTGTTAAAGTGTAAACAGCTTAAATTCTTCTGCAAGGATTTTAACCACAGACGTCACTCTGCCACTTCAAGGCTTTGAGTAAACTGAGCTCGACTGATTGAATGATGCAGCACATCCTCTCAGGAGTTATGAGGTGTAGCGTGCTGGATCTGGTATCCTGTGTTCATATAAGGATGTTTGTGGTTTTAAACAGTCACTTTCCAACATTCACACATAGTTAATCGTTTTCATTTTCGCTGCTTGTGCTAAAATTGCAGGCATGATCTGCTTGGTCCTAGAGCGCAAGGCTTGTAAGTTGTGACCACTTTTGCTCCTGTTGGTCTGAACAAGTTGTTGCATGAAGGTTTTTTGTATTTCTGAATTTTGTTGCTGCTTGACACGATTGCCATCTGTCAGTACATAAGCATTTTATAAACGTATCCTGTTTTTTATCATTTTTATTTGAAAAGGAAATAATTATTTAGCATCGTTGATGTCATTTTACATCTTGCCTTTTGTAATTTTCTGGTGGGTTTAAGGTGGTTTCAATTATTTAATGTGCATGATAGACACTTGTCTAAATGTTGACTTGAATATTGTTTGTAATTACCTGTAGTTTTTTTTTGTTTGTTTGTGGGATTTTATGTTGCTGTGTATAATATTCACTTTACAGCTAAATATAATCAAAAAGTGGTTTTATTTCATTAATTTGCATTAAAATGTGATGCTCATATTTTATATTGATTGAATATTTGCACATTTCTCACATGTATTGCTGTTCCTTTTTGTGAATTATGGTTTACGGCTAATGAAAATCCAAAATACAATTATCTTATAACATGCACATATGACTGTAGGTTGCAACCTACATATCAAGACTGCAGACTTGATATTGCCAATGCTGTGTGAGTTATTACAAACAAATAAATGGAAAATTGAGTGGAAGAAAAAAACAGGGGTAACCTCAACCTCTAGACAATTGAGAAGAAAAGCATACAAGGTGCACCAGAGTCAGGAGGAAGAGCAGAAGAACACAGAATTAAAGTTATGTTTAGTGTGAAGTTTCCACAGTCTGTGATTTGGAGAGTTGAGTCATTTGCTGGTGTTGGTCCACTGTGTTTTATTGAGGAGCAAAGTCAGTGCCGCTGTAGGAAATTATGCAGCACTTCCTGCTTCCTTCTGCTCACAAGCTTTATGGAGATATGTTCCAGCAGGACTTGGCAGCTGCCCACACTGCTAAAGGCACCTATAGCAGGTTTACTGATCACCGTGCTTGATTGGTCAGTAAAACTTTCCCAACCTAAGCCCGATTAAGAAAAGGTCCCCTGCTCCTAACCAGCTGAATCGAATGACTTTCACTTTCTCAGCCTGTCATCGTGTTCTCTAGTGGCCTGGTAATGAGCCATTGACAGGATTTCAGGTAACACTTACTGCAGTTCAGCTTGAGTTGGCGGGGAACAAGCTCAAAAGTCTCACCGAAAGCAACATGATCAATTTGGTAAATTGGCAAACAAGCGGCGCGCATCTTTAGATAAATCTTTAACAACTTCAGGTTTTATTTGTTTGTGAACTTAAGCAGAATAGCACATGGAAACTCTTAAAGTAGCCGCATGTTGCTGTTGTCCGTTATCTGTCAGCACTTGATTACCCTTTCATGTTAATGAAAGGGTGGCAAAGCCTCTGTTGATGGCTGGAAAACAGGTTTGCACAGATGGCTGGATCTTATTGCTTGTGGGTATGCATGTTCAGGACTTCTCTCCCTTTTGACATGCTGGCTGATGAGGTGCTAACAAAAGTGTCCATGTGAGCCGTTCTCCAGTGATGCAATTACTGCTACTGCACTTTCTTTTTGCCACGTTTACAGATGTAGCTTGTCATTCATGAGGTCATTGATTACAGGATGACCTCTTGCTTAGTTTTCATCTGTTTGTGTTTTCTTAACTTTGTTTCAGTTGATTTTACAAGTTCTCACTTTTGTTTTTTAACTTATTGACCTTTCTGCGCGGGCTGCACAGTGGCGCAGTTGGTAGAGCTGTTGCCGTGCAGCAAGAAGGTTCTGGGTTCGATTCCCGGCCCCGGTCTTTCTGCATGGAGTTTGCATGTTCTCCCTGTGCATGCGTGGGTTTTCTCCGGGTACTCCGGTTTCCTCCCACAGTCCAAAAAACATGACTGTTAGGTTAATTGGTCTGTCTAAAATTGCCCCTAGGTGTGAGTGTGTGTGTGCGCATGGTTGTGTGTCTCTGTGTTGCCCTGCGACAGACTGGCAACCTGTCCAGGGTGTACCCCGCCTCTCGCCCGGAACGTTAGCTGGAGAGGCACCAGCACCCCTCCCGACCCCACTGAGGGACAAGGGTGTTCAGAAAATGGATGGATGGATGGATGGATGGACCTTTCTGCGCCTGATTGTGCTCCTTTGTTTTATTAAGCTGAATTATGAACAATTACTTTTAAAAGCAGTCCACTCTACTTGCAGCATTAACCAAACAGCTTCAGCTCAGTTTTATCATGCTGGTTCTTGTAAGCAGGATCTCAGCTGCTTTAGGCCTTTTTGGCATCAAACTCTCTGACTTAAAAGGAAGCTGGTAGGATTAACAGTGATCCACGTTTTGGCAAGCCTTTTTACGAGAAAGGTGCAACCAGGAAGAGAGTCAACAGAAGTGAAAGTGGAAATGATTGAATTATATGAAGCAGTTCTTATTGAATAACTTTAAAAACATTAAACGAAGAATTCAACTTTGTGCCCAAGTTGTTCTGTTACTTTACCCTTTTCTGGCTCTATGCCTCTATTTAAATGCATTATCTCAGCTAATTATGTGATTTCTAATCTCGCTTGGGCATCTTTTTTTTCTTTTCTTTTTAGCTTCCGTCATCTACTGGTTTTATAACTTGTATTTTAGATACCTTGCATTTCCTTCCACTAAAAAAGGCATGGTATGCGCATTACAAGCATTCTTTGTTTTTTTCTTTAACATATTTAGTCCTGTTTCTCCATCTGATGCAGTTGCTTTATTTATTTTTTCCTGATGTTCATTTAGTGCTGATCAGTGTCACTCTGTTGCAGGTACCCCAGTCAAGATGTATATTGTTCAGAGCAGAGCTCGTCTGGCTCAGGGCCCTCTGCCGAGGACGGAGACCCTGAAATCCACGAGCAGAAGCAGGACTCCACACAAAACGAGGTGAAACCTGACCACTTCTACTTCGCTCAAACTTATTGCACAGTTAACATGTCATATTCTTGCTTCTTTAATGAGTTTCATATTTCTGAGCAACATAAATTTCCAATGTCAAGGCTTTCTCCGTCAGTGGCAACAAAAATAGATGAGGTATTTAGAGGACTTACCTCGGCTTCTTCAGGTCTTAGATGGTGAGCAGTTTTAATAGTCGTGCTGAAATGAATGAGTTTGCTGAAATCTTAGAGGTTAGTAGTGGTCGAAGTTTGGTCTCTTATGACCCACAAACCTCTATAAATGGACGAAGGGAGAAAATGTACTGAAGAATGAAGTGCAAGTATGGAGTTTATTAACCTTAGAGGAGCAGACTGTGGGGCCATGAGCTACGGTCGATGTTGCTGAATATCAAGATATTAATAATTTGTGGTGAAACAACAATATGATGTTTTTAAATGCAGTGATCTGCTGTGAAAAAGACAGGATCCTGTTTACATCAGATCTCTCTCTTGCTTTTGTTGGAAAAATGACTTCATTTGTGTTTCCTGTTTATCAGCTACTAAAATTAGCTTTCCAAAGTTTTTTTTGCTTTTCTTCAGTGCATAAATCCTGAGAGTTTCTCTGGTTTGTCCTCCTGGCGCTGTATCTTCCTAGTGTTTCAGATGAATTAATTTTTTTTTTTTTTTTGTCTGAGTTTTTCCCTGGGGAATTCTCCAGGATTTTAGAATATTATTCTTTCCAAAGGTCAGCTGCTTTATGAATGAAAACTTTCAGGACTTTGAGGATTTGACAATGGTTAACCTTTAAATGATTAGCTGGATCTTGATACATTGCATAGGATAGACTACAGTATTGTCCATTTGCATACATTTGGTTTTTTGCTTTGTATTCTGAATGTGATGACTCTTTTGAACATCTGCAGTCATCTGGAAAAGTTTTAATTTTCAACTTATAAATGTTCACATATTGTTTTAATCCCAGTTTTATTCATCTCTGAAAAATGTTTTATGCTAAATCAAGAGATCCAGTTTGTTTTATTCAGTACCCATGTCAACAAAAATGTGATTTCCACAAATGAGAACAAATAAGAACTTCACATCCCTGAATAAAAAATGTTACCCTCTTTGGTTTCAATAACTTCAGTGGAAAGCTTTTTGTAGCCATGCAGAGCAGCCTTTGCAACACACAACACTTCCACCTCATGGTTTTTGCCAAACATGTCTGCTGGTACAGTGTCCAAATGAGCAGTGGTCTACTAATGTAGAAGAAATTGAAGAAATCTTTCTTCTATGAGTCGCAAAAGCATGCTGCTAATATTTACATTATTTAAAATGCCTTACCAGACTCATCATCTGTTGGTGTTTTTCTGCTGGGTTCACTCTCACTTCAGCAGTCAGATGCTATATTTAAATGTGTAATCGTTTTAGCTCTTTTTATCATACTAAATGTGGCAGAGTCTTATTTTGCTCACCAGAGGAAAAAAACCCCAACAATTTTACAGAAATAAATTAAATTATTTGTTCAGTTTAATTATTTAGTTAAATTAGGATTTATAAATGTTGTCGAATCTGAAATTAAATACCCATATATTTATATTTTCACTGGTGTATATTTGATTTAGATTGTATCAGCATATCAGACACTCTTCGTTTGAGCCTTTTTTCAGAATAAACATGTTAGATGTATTGCAGACTGAAAGCACATATTTAAATCGCAAAAATAAAGAGGTGTCAAGTTTTTTTGTTTTTTTTTTAAACATACTTTCTTGAGGTTTTGGTTTGATACTGGACATTATTTTGAAAATGACTCAAGTGTCTGCATGGCCAAATTTATTGACATGTCACAAATAATTTCTTTTGGACATATCCAAGAAATCATTTACCTTTTGTTTTAAGCTTATTTCATTCATTATCTTGTAACCTTTAGCTATGCTTCTTGTTTCATTGATGTTGGCAACATTTTCTTAAGTAATGTCCTTAACCTGAAAATAATAACTTTATTTCATTTTGCAGCATTATCTTGCGTCAAATGCAAGATAATGCCTTTGAATTTCTTGGAAATTCAAAGGTCACTGTGACGTGTGTTAAGCTTTTATTTTTAGGATTTGACATTTTCTATGGCCTTTGATTATTAATCTGTAGTTGTTGTCAAGCTCATTCCTTTTCCTTTGGAGTAATGGATTGAATTGGCTCAAAGCTCAGCCTAGATCAAACATTTTTGAACTTAGTTCTTCTTCCTCGAGTCTTTAACAGAGCAGCATTGTGTTTATTTGCAGCCACATATCAAATGAAGGATAATTTGTAGTAGTGAGTGTTCGGTGCGTGGACTGAAGAAGGGGAGTCATTGTGAGATCCAGGCACAAACAGCCTTGCAGGGGCAGTTCAGCAGGCCTGACGGTCTGTCATCAGCCCCAGAGCATGGGCTTTGTCCATCAACAAAAGCCCTTTCACATCCAGAAATGCAAATGCCTTCCATTCTTTCTTCTTAAATATGCATCTTGCAAAATATTCTTTCTTTTTTTTTTCCATGTGCTTTCATGGTTTTGCTTCTGTTAATAAATCAGATGTTTTGCTGTAGGTGGTGGAAGAACGGTCGACGCACACCTCATACGAAATAGGATTAGAGACGGAGAGGGCAGCACTAGAGAAGCTAGCAAGCGTACAACATGAACAGGTGAGAAGAAACATGGCTCTCAGTAAATGTTTTCTGCATTACACAGTAGAGCACAAAATTATTAACCCCTTTGTCTGACTTGGATATGAAGTGATCTTTTTATTTCCACATGGTTTTTGTTTTTGTGAAAGTAGCTCTAGCATTTTTGACATGTAATATTTTTAGTAGAAAATGTGTAATTATTTTCAAAATTTAGTTTATTTTGTTTTGTTTTTAATCACACATTTTTTCTGTTTTTTTTTCTCTGCAGACTGTGAATCATTTAGAAACTGAGGCAAAAGAGACCAAACAAAGCCAAGAGTTGGATACTGTACCTGTCCTCGATGAGCCAGAACTTCCCACAGAGACTCACCCCGACCTGCCGACTGACCCACAGGACCACGACAGTGAGAAAGCAGGCCCAGAGCCCCCCACTCCAGAACCATTGCCAGAACTGGTCCATGTGTCACCAGATGCTGTAGTCCAAGCTGAGTCCTCTAGTGATGATTACACCGCACAGCCGCGCCTGGACTCGGACCCGTCGACACCTTCAGATGAAGCTGAAAACGTACCTACCTCAGAGAGCGCTGGCCCCGCCGACACAGGAGGGTAAGTTCAGATCCTCGGTAACCAAACGTCACAGCAGATGTTATGCATTTCATTTGGAATTTTTTGTTGGTTAACTTTTTGGTTTTCCCCTCAGTTTTTTTAATTTATTTATTTTTTTCATTTTAATTAAAAAAAACAACAACAACTGCTGGTCTTAAAAAGAGGTGTTTGCATCTTGGACAAAACCTTTTAAGGAACTGCTGACCTGCTTTGAGAGACATGAGACTGTTGGCACTTTCTCTTTGTTTTGTTTTTAAATGCTGAAAGGACGTTTGTGGAAATTCAAAAGCATTTTGGAGACTCAACACTCTGGACATGAAAGCCGAACTTTAAAAGAAGAGCCTGCTCCTTCCGTAGCAATGTTTCTGTCAGGACATTTCAGATCTTTGTACCAAGCGCTTCAACGGCCCACAACCAACAACCGACCTCCATCCCTACTGTCAGTCCATCTGCTTTCTCTCCTTCTTGCTTCCTGCCCCTTTGCCCCCCATTTCCCTCTCCAGACCCTGCCCCTCTGTCTCTGCTCTCTGCCCTTCCCAGTGCTAGGAGGTGTGGTAAAAGCCATGTCCTTTCTTTCCCTCAGTGCAGTGCGGGTTGCCAGTGCAGGCGATGAACTGCCAGTAGACAGCTTTGTCTTTGCTGAGCACTCTGATTCACAGTGCAGGGTCATTCCCCCCGAACTGGCAACCTGTGAAAACTCCCCTTTTGGCCGCCCTCTCTTCAGGTGAGTTTCTATCCACCGCCAGCCAATCAAAGCAAAGAGACAGGTAATCGAGCTAGAAGCTACGCCTCTCTGCTGTGCGTAACCATCAATCGCTGGCTTTATACCCAACTTATGCTTTTTTTTTTCTTTTTTTTTTTCTTTTGAAATTTAATTTCCTGTTATTGCCTGCTCCAACCCAGGACTGTTAATAAAACAATTATCGATCACATTTAACTCAATATTTCCAGCATTTCTGAGGACTAATTTGTTTGTCTGTATTCCTCCCTTGTCCGTTTTTTGCCCTCCATTGGACCCATGTTTGTGATGCAGTGTGGAAGAAGATGGCACAGATGACCAGATGTCGAACCAGAGCGCTGATCTCGAAACAGAGTCCAGTCAGTCCAGTCCACATTTAGCAGAGCCAGAAGAATCAGAACCTGGAAGCCGGAAAGAGGAAGAGCAGCTGGACGATGTGCTATCCAGTTTGGAGCAGGAGGGCAACACTTCCCACCTCCACCATAAGCAGCAGGTCAGCAGCTTTATAGTTTAACCATCATAAGGGGTTTTAAAAGTAGTTTAATTGGATTGGAACCATGGATGGACCAATGGAAATTCAAAAATCTGTTTTCCCAGTAAGTGAATGTATCATACTTGAGCAGTCTTTGTTCTGAAAGTTACAACTGAGACTCGAAGGAGACTCAAAGTTTGCTACTTTTTTAATCAGTAAGATGTTTAAAAATGAAGTTGGTATGAGAGACGCCATTGAAACGGTTAACTGGAAGCTTGAGCAGAGTGCAGCAAAGTTGTAATGTTTTATCAGTATTTTTTTTCAGTATTCAACCTCAGACTATTTTTGGACATACTCTATTTGGAAATGTTGACAAAGTTTTCTAAAGTTCAGCGTCACGGTAACAATGTATCTTTTCAAAGCACTACACACAGGGAGGGCTGCGATAGTTACTGTAGGAGAAATAATCTCTAATTTAAGATGCTAAAGTCTATCAACAATGTCAACTCTTCAATCATATTATCTTTATTTTAAAATGGTAGAACCTACTTTACATTAGGGCTTCTCTTAACTGTATCAAAAAGCTTTTATCATTTGAACTTGCAAGGAATTCAGATGAACACAGAATAAGGAAGTCATATTTGGAAGACATGAGCTGCCAGATATGGACAGAATGATGGTTAGACGCTCTTCATGTACATTATTTATCAGCTGTTTTATTCTCTAAATTACTACTTCATTGACACTATTGCCCAATGCCAAATCCCTGTTCCAGCTGCAAACAGGGAAGAGGCAAAAAATAAGAAACAACCACTACTCATGCTTACACTCACTAATTTACTTAACTAATTTTGGATCAATCTCTTGGTCAACTTTAAGAAGAAATGTGAACATCAACTAACAAATGAATCGACTCATAAATAAATAAGAGACTCTAAGCAGAAAGCTCCTGATTACTGCAGCATCTTACCAATATGATCAGTGGCTAACAGATCAAAACTGCACATCTGATACTATAAATCAACAAACAGCAGTGTGTTTTAGTGCTCTTTTAGCCTGCTTTGAAATGTTTTGCTCATTAAAAAAACAAAACAAAAACTAGGACATGTTTATTTCAAACAAATGATTTGCATTAAATGGGATTGAGCTAATCGGGTATGTCAACATTGTTTTGCTGATTTGGAGCAAAGAGCTAATGGCTAATCTCTCTGTTGCTGGCAAAGAGTCTTGTCTGGGTGTTTACATAACTAGTGGATTTCCAAGATCAGATGCAACTGCGAGATATAAGGTCACTTATATAATACACCAAAAATATTATTCCCATCTCAGTGCATCTCTGCGGCCTGAGGCTAGCTGAGTACCATTAGCTGAAAATGGAGGTCTTTCAGTTTTTACTGAAATTGAATATTACCAGATATGACCCATAACTCTTATCCCATATAACTTTATTATTCATATTCACTGAGCTACAATGGATCTCTGCATGGTTGGCATGTTTCTGTTTCAGATGGGAGATGCTAACGCTGCCAGAGAAGCTGATCCCTCTGTACCCAGTAAAGATGACATCCCCACCTTTGATGAGTGGAAGAAACAAGTTATGGAGGTGGAAAAGGAAAAAAGTAAGTGCATACAAACCTGATGCCAGCAAAGTTTGGAGCTGCTGTGAAATGCAGGTTAACATGATCACATAGACTTAAATTTCTTCACAGAAAACAAAGATAAACACCCCAAATGTGTAAACCAGGTAGAAAGAGAAATAATTTTTAATTTGCTGGAAGCTGCACAAGTGAATAAAAATGTTGGGACAAAGTTGTGTGTACCACTTTCCAATACTCAAATAAATAAAATGTTGGAACCAAGGAGACGAAAGACTGAAGGATGTGGAGGAGAATATCTGATTCTTGTAAGATGTGGGATTCTAGCTGTTCTTCAGTTCTGGGTTTTTCTGATTTCTGGTTCCTGATGAGCCAAATGTTTTCAATTGGTTCAGTTCAAGTGATTTTTTTTTAATGGCACCAATTCACAGCACAAGTCGTCAAGACATTTTACAGGAAAAAAAAGTCAATAAAATCCAATCCTTCAGATTATTTCCAAGTCAGTTACACATGTTCCTACTTATGAAAACATGCAGTCAAGTTCATTTTATTCAAATTGGTTAAAACATTTTCTGTCGAGGACTCCGAGTCTGAGAGGTTTCATCTTAGTTTTAGATTATGAATCCATCCAGTCAGAAATGCTGAAATAAGCAAAGCTTGGTCAGAAAAGATTTTTACCACTTTTAGCTGCACAAATGTTTGTATTCCAAAGTTGCTGTGAAACATTATTCAGGAAATGTTTGACTATTTTTATGCACAGTTTTGTACTGATTGATATCTTATCTGCACATCTGAAACTTTTCATATCTAAGCTTACATGACTCACATTTTGGATTTTGAGTTGCAGATTATTAAATTCCAGCAACATTGTGGTTCATTTCAGTTCTGAATAGGTTGGTGAAAATGTTTATTATTATTATTATTATCATTATCATTACATAAGGACTAAATTAATAGAATAAAGATCATGAGCCCTTTGGTGCAGTTTACTACTGCATACCTTTTGCCTCGCTCTTTTCCGTGAGCTTCAGTGCTGCATTCACTTTTCTCTTTTCCAGAATTTCTTTTTCCAGCTTGCCCTACAATCAGCTTGATCTTAATCCTCCTCCTTTCCAGGTCAGACTCTCCATACTTCAGCCGGTGGCAGCCTACATTCAGCGAAAAAGATCCAGAAAAACTTTAAGAATAACTACGCCTCTGTAGAGTGTGGTGCCAAGATCCTCTCTGCCAACAACGAGGCCAAGGTGAGACACGTTTCTCCTATGCTACCAACAAACACTTATGCTCTGACATGTCATGCTGTATAAGCAGAGAAATTAACATGATTTCAGATGTTGTGAATGTGCATTTGATGTATGAATGTATTCCTGTTACTTGCAGGGAATGCTTAATTATGTCATTTGCAATCTTTTAGAGTACGTCAGCTATCCTTATGGAAAATATGGACCTTTACATGCTAAATCCATGCAGCACCAAAATCTGGTAGGGCCTCTGTTTCACACTGTTCACTGACTTTACTGCTTTCACAAAGCTTCCTCTTCACAAGCGTTTCCCCCTCTGTAGGTTCGTAATAGAGCTCTGTGAGCCGATACAAGTCAAACAGCTGGATATAGCCAACTTTGAGCTTTTCTCTTCAACACCTAAAGACTTTCTAGTTTCCATCAGTGACAGGTAAGCTCTCGTTGTTTTCCCTCATGTCAGCACAGTGTCATGTAAGCTCATAAATCAGGTGCTTAATTTCACCCAGCTGTGTAATGTTAGGCAGCTGTCAATTCCTCCATTTCTGAGTGCGAGTTATAGCCGCAGAGCTGTCATTTCGACTAAACCTTACCTCATGCAGCAAAAATATTCAAATGCCTCCAATCCTTTTATTGGAATTTTATGTGATAAACAAACACTCAGCAATGCATATGTGAAGTAAAAGACAGGTGGCACGAGGTTTTGATCTTTTTATTTTATAACCAATTATCAAACAGTGTGTCATGCATTTTTATTTTCCAGTCTGATTTAATGAGTTGTAGGACAACTTTTTTTTCCAGTTACAGATATATCTTTTGGGTTGTTGCTACTAGCTTTGTACATTTAAAGACAAGCTTTTGCCCTTCGTGCTTCTGTAAAATAACTTGAGCTGAGTAAGATCGAACAGGGAGGAGCATTAGTTTTTATTGGATTGGATCTTTGATGAATCCTTTGCAGCCTTCAGCAATTTTGCCCCACAGTAGTCCACTATAACCAGCCTACCGTGAACTCTGAAGAGCTTGCCTAATTCCTGCTGAAGAAACTCACATTTGCAGCATGATGCTGCCACTATCACGTTTTCATTTAGAGATGATGTGCAGTGTTAACTTTCTGCCACTCAAAGCTCAGTTTTCTTCTCACCTGACAACAGCACAGTCTTTCGCATGTCCACTGTGTCCTCCAAGTGACTTGACAACCTGCTGATGAGACTTCCTGTCTTTCTGTAATTAGTTTCTTCCTGCCATTCTTCACAGAACAGCTGTATTTATCCTGAGATTAAAATGCACACCATGCCACACTTTTTAGATTTTCATTTCTAAAAATGTTTAAGCCATGAAACATTTCAAGTTGTAAAAAAAAAAAATTATTTAAAATACAATTTAATTTTACACTTTTGTTCAGCTATAAATGCTATTAGGCCACTTAAATTTAATGAGATGGTTTGAGTATTCACAAAGCACAAGTACGTCATCATCTCTGCAGCCTTACCTCCATGTCTGGCGATGTTAGAGATGCTGTTGTGTTTGTCCAAGACATTATCCCTCAGCATTGATCTCCAGCTAAATCTCAGCAGACCCTCAGACATGATAAATGCATTGTCATTCACATCGACCCTGTGACAACATGCTGGTTGATTTCACATTTCTTGCTCTTTTTGCAGATATCCCACCAACAAGTGGGTGAAGCTGGGTACTTTCCACGCACGTGATGAACGGATAGTCCAGAGTTTCCCACTGGATGAACAGCTTTATGCTAAATATGTGAAGGTGCTCGGCTTTTTTTTTTTTTTTTTTTTTTTTTGTAGTAAAGCACTTTGGAGTGTTGAATGAACACTGGATTTGTCCTGTAGCCATTTCGTCAGTGTAAAATCAACGTGTGACGTGTTTCTCCTGCAAGAACCTGAGTTCTTACAATCTTACAGATGTTATAACCAAGAGATCAAACCATGCAGTGTGCAAATTTAGAGAACTTCAGTCATTTTTCTTTCTTCTATATTGTTGATTTCCAAGATCTGGTTAAATTTAAAACTTATAAAGATGGGATTTTATGTGTTTATAACAAGAACTGAGAGGGTTTTGTGGCTAAACGGGTAGAGCAGCTGGAAAAACATTCTCACAAATTGATCCAGTCACTTTAAAAACTGATTTATAGAAACTTCAGTAACTTTAAGGTTAAACGCTCTTAAACTAGTCATCATCATAGTTATTGTTTACCACATGGAACATGTTACTTTTAAAATACTAATAATGTTAGTGACACTAACAATACAGGTGTTTGTTTTTAAAATCTTTTATAACATCATGAAGTCATCACAGTTTTTTGTCAAATAAGCTGTGTTGTTTTTTTGTTTGTGTGTTTAATTAAATGGTCACATGACAATAATAGTTTTAACACATTTTCACTTTTTTATTGATTATGTAATCAGTCCTTTGGATATTTAATATTTGCTTTTAGCTTGACTTTATAATGTTTGGACTAATCATGAATGTTGAAATGCAAACATTCAACATCTCTGTTCATCTGAATGTGTGTGGATGTACTGAATGCGTTTCTTATCTCACTGCTCAGTATTTTCAGTTCTGGCATGTTAGTTTATTCCTTTTGCTACTATTTTTTTAATGTAATGAGTAGATGTTCTCTGTGTGTGAGTCTTAATTTCTCTTTTTGTGTAGCTTAATAGTTGCTTTTATTACACAAACATTTTTTTTTGTATGTAGAGCTTGTCTGTGCATCTTTTCCATCGTTTGTTCATAATTTCTGACTTCCCCTGAAGTATCTCTCTGCCGTGCCTTTGCCTGTGAAGTGGAACTGTACATATCAGTCGTATATTTGTTTTATCTGAAAGCTGAAATGTTTGCAGATTCTTGACTTGCTTGTAGCTCGATACGATCTTCACTGATTGCTTTTTCTTGTTTTATTTCTCTCTTACTCTGTCCCTCTCCTGCTCTTCCGCTCACATCAGATGTTCATCAAATACATAAAGGTTAGCACTCTTCTCCTGCTGTCAGAGCCTCACATGTGCTGAAAACATAAAGGGTGACTTATCTTAATGGATGGCCTTTAACTAGACTTCTTCCTTTTATGCATGTGGAATATGTTAAAGGGTTAAAACATGTACACAGTTTATTATCACAACCTTATGCTTCTCAAATGGTGGATATTGGTGTATGAAGTGGGCATATAAAGGCTTTGTTTAATGTCTTTTTTTATTTAAATGTTATTTTAGTTTTAAGAATTTGCTTGTTTTCCCTGCAGGTTGAGCTCCTCTCTCACTTTGGAGCCGAACACTTCTGTCCCCTCAGTCTCATCAGGTACAATCTTAAATTGCTGAATTTAAGATTAAACCATCCTAAACATTGTTTTTTTTTTGTTTGTTTTTTTTTTATTCCTGAATCATATTTGAACAAGGATTCACATTTCCCTGACGGAACATTTGTTTTCACTTTTGTTTTTCTTTTAAGGTGTTTAAGATGTAGCTTTACAGCAGGTTACTCAGAGACATTTCAAGTTCACTGCTGTGTTTATCCCTCAGGCTGTCGTACTTCAAACTTCAAACTGCAGCTCTTCAAATGGCAATATTTGCCGTATTAAAAAAATGTTTCCTGTAATTCATGGGTGGGGAAGATGTTTAGGAACCAGTTGAACGACCTAAATCTGTCTCTGCTTGTCAGTTCTTCCATACTGTCTCATTGTAGTTTTAAGAGGTTTTCTTTTTACATCTTTCACTTGAACAATAGTTCAAACGTATGCAAAGTATAGCAATCTAGTGAAATTCACTTCCTGTATTTGTGTTGCACAGTGCAGTTAAGCTCGTTTTACATTGAGAATAATGGCTTTAGTTTTTCAGAAACGCATGTTGGTCCCTCTAAGGCACTTTTTACTCATTACGGGTTAAAATGGCCATAAAACCCACATCTTTTATTTATGCAAGCATGCAGTGTTTAGTAGGGAAAGTAATATTTTTATGCCATGTTATTAAATCCCGATCTCAGAAGTGAGTTTCTGCATTTGCTTTTACCCTCCAAAATGAACTTGAACATTAACCTTTTTAATGAACAAAGCGTACATGTCACAGTCACAAAATTTGTTTAAATTGAAATCTGAAAGGTGTGCCATGCATGAAGCTCTTTCAGCTCTTTTTACTGATAACCCTTAATAAAACCCAGTGGCAGCAGTACTTTCAGTTGGTCACCAAACACTGCAGGGTGCAATATAATCTGGGTTATAAGTCCAGGTGTTCACGAAGGCCTCAGGATTAGGAGAAAATCTGGTTGTGACTTTTTAATTTGAAATGACTCACAGACCCTGATTTGACTGAGCTTGAGCTGTTTAACAGAGGAAAATGAGTAATAATCTTTGGCTCCAGATGTTTAAAGCTGGTAAACTTATCTAACTCTTTAGATATTTATTGGCAAAAAAAATTGCAAACTTTCTTCTACTTTGCAATTATGAATAAATTTCTAATCATCTGAAACATAAAATGTGAGCAAAATTCATTGAATTTTGTTATGTTGATAGATATGAAAAGACAAATGTGAATATGTTTGGAGGAAAGTAGGCTTTTTTTTTTTTTTTGTAACGCGTTACTCTTGCTGTGTAGGGTGTTCGGCACCAGCATGGTGGAGGAGTACGAGGAAATAGCAGATTCCCAGTATCCCTCAGACAGGCTGGAGTATCTGGACGAAGACTACGGTGAGATGCTGAAGTGCAGTCGAAGGAAATGTAATCAGCTAGACAGATCTGATTATCCATCGCTTGCAGCTGCAAGCTTTAAATAGTTCAACTCCAAAGGATTTTACTTTACTTTTTTAATTTAGCTGTCCAGTACCTGCTGCTTATAGAACCAGATCACATTTAGATCACATGTTCTCTACATCTGTTTGTTCCTTTCATTTTCAGATCCTGTTATTCAGCCTTGATGTGAAATGTTTTTGCCAACTTTATTGACTTGTCTTGCAATTGTGTACAGACTATCCTCCTGGTTATCAACCGTCAGAAGAAAAGGTTTCTAAAAACCTGCTTGGATCAGCAACCAGTATGTATCCACACACAAACAAACCCTTATGCTCATATTTGCATATGTAGTCACTTTACTGTCTAAAGACCAAATGTCTATAGATGCATCCCAAAAGTGTAATAAATATCTGACACCCACTATAAGGTTGTTAGAGTATTGTGAAAAAACTATTGCGCAATGTTTTAAGATAATTATGACTTTTCATATCTAAAGTAAAAAAAAAAATGAAAATAATTGAAGTGCATAAAAACTCAGTACATCCAAAAACCAGGCTGCATCCAAATATGTAAAATGATTGATTTTTAAAAGGTTGTATATTTTCCTTTATATAGTTGTATTGTAATGTTTATATGGCCTCATCATAAATGTTGCAGTTCATTAGTGGTTCAACACTTTAAACTCCAGAAGTCTTAACTTTTTGCTTATTTTGCTCTATTTTTGTGTGAATATTTGTTTTTGATGTTGTTTTTTTATTGTCTCTAAATGAAAAGCTACAACTTCTACGAGCAGCTGTGGTTTCATAAAGTAGGCAAACGGCCCTAACTTTATGAGCTCAGTCAGGTATAAATTTATTCCTCTGTTAGCAGAGTTGAATGTTTTATTAGTATTTTAGCCAGCATAAATCCATGTGCTGGCTTTCTTTGGATGCATAAAACTTTGCTGTTTGCTTTTTATCTCTTCATTTAAACACAACATGCCACTCCACAAATAGACTTTTGTTTTTCTGCATCCTGAATTAGCCAATGTAGCACTGGAGGATCCCTCCCAAACACCATAAAGCGGTAAACACATCAGCAGGGCATTTTGTGTTCTCTTGCTTTATTGGAATGCTTTGGAAAGGATGTGGGGAGGGGAAATCAAAGAACACAAGTGGTGGAGAAGTCGGAAGAATGGAAATAATCAGGAAACACTTTCAGCATCAGATTGGATTGTGTGTGAAAATGGAAAAAAAACAAAACAGTTGTGTTAGGAGTCACACGTTCACAGATGAAGTGAAGCGCGTTTCTGTTTCTGTTCTTCAGATGCGATCCTCAACATGGTGAACAACATTGCTGCTAACGTCCTTGGTGGCAAGCCGGACATGGAGGGTGGAGCAGAATTAGGAGGTACTCGCTGTTCACGCTGTGAAATATTGATATCCGTCTGGTTTCGTCACATTTTATACGTTAAAGTCCTCAACAGAAAGCCAACCCCAATCCATGTAACCTAATAGACATTTCAGCTTCACTGCACTTGAGGCCGTTTAAATTTTCTGACGTTAAAACTTCCGATGTTTTTCTTTTTTCGTTTGCACACCGAAGTACTAATGTTGAGACTTTTAATATAGCAAAAACCCAAGAAAATAGACTGGAAACAAAGACACTAGTGCTACTATTAGTCATAAATAATAGTAGCATTTTTAAGCAACTATTATAAAAATCTGCCATCATTATTGGATATTTGTTCTAGGTAAGGTTACACAAAACGGTTAATGCTTCAGTAGAGTCCCGCCCTTAATTCTGGGAACCATAGAATTACTGGGAAACCAGTATGATTCCCCAGTATGAGAAGGCTTTAGATTTTTGTTTTTGTTTGACCATGTTATCTCATCGACATCCTGTTGGACTTAAATTAATAATTTTTTTTTCTTTTATTCCAATAAATGGGTTAGTGTGTCATAATCTGTACACAAAAAGCCACATGGAGCAAACACCTGTTTATACACTCTGAAATGCTTCATCTAGATGAAATGTACTTGTTGAAGCATTTTGGTGAGCGTCAAGCACCTGCTTTCGTCTTGCCATACAATAAAAAGATTAAGTTTTGGCTGAAGCTGTCATCTGTACTGAGTCAGCCTCTTTTCTATTTTGTTGAGCAGCCACTCCTCCGCTGCAGCCAGTATGAAGTAAAACAGGTTTGTCCATATGAGTTGGTCTGTCCTTTCTAGGTTGGTGATGTCGCACCTCATCGTTCAGGAAAAATCTTCCATAAAGATTTAACTGCCATGAATTATTTGCTCTTTGGAGCAGCAAATTATTCAGTTGCTGCCTGTCCATGCATGCCTCTGCAGAGGAAAGCTGGGAGACAATTTGAGTGATTCCCCTGAATCGATTGCATCATTGGTTTAAAGTGCGTCATACTGACATCTTTAGTTCATTCTTTGTATGAAAGTACATTAATTGCAGATGAAACTGAAGGAGAAAACAAGCTGATACTATATATGGGTGGACTCTCATCATTACTACCTTTTTAGTAACTTTAGATTTGTGCTTTTGATGTCTGATTTCTTGTTTCAGAAAAGTGAGTAATGTGGAAACAAATAGGACATCCAATGAAAGTGTTTTGTTTTTTGTTTTTTTCTGACAAATTCAGACATGGGTACTTTTTACATCAATATTAAAACAGAGAAATCCCAGTAAAACAAAATTATAATAAATAATAAACAGTACATTTAAAATTGTACACGGTAAGAGTGGACACAATGAGGAGATCAAACAAGCTGCCAGAGGCATCCAGAAAGATGTAGCAGCTTCACATCACAGAGGTGATGTGAAACGATCTGCAAGAGGAAAAAAAAAGTTATGACGAATCCGGACCCTGCAACATGTCAGACACTCATAGCATACCAGTAAATCGACAGGACACTGTGTGAGAGTTAAATTTGTCGTGGACCGAGTCAAAGTCCAGAAAAACAAATTTTTACTGATTTAAAACTTAGTAAAAGCAGGGGGGCGAGGGGTGTCGGAGTGCAGATAAATCATGTTTTTCCACTGATTTAAAAAAAATGAAGATGGACAACAGCACATGAAATTTAATAAAGCCGTGATAATTTTTTTCACAAGGCTGAATGTGGCGAAATCAGCCAAACCTCAAAGATGCTTCAGCTATCAGACAGACCAGCACAGTTCCTCTTTTTGTTCACTCTGCTTGTCTTGTTTTTTTGTTTTTTTGAGTGTGTGTGTGTGTCATTTCCTGCCTTTCCTCCACTCTCTGTAACCACTAGCTGCTCTGTCTTTCCACATATTGTTTATATTACCTCCTTTTAAAACTGGGTCACTTTATCCCCCCCCCC